GTGTGATGATAACTTGTTGTATTCCCTCCATCTGGGGCATCCGGTATTGGCCACTGTTGGCAGACAGGCGACTGGGCTGGAAGGACCTTTGGTCTAACTCAGTATGGCTGTTCTTGTTTTCTTAGGTTAAACTGCTCAAGATAGTTAAGAACAAAGCAGACTGTGAAGAGCTTCAAAAGGATCTCACAAAATTAGTTGACTAGAGAACAAAATGGCAAATGAATTTTAATGTTGATAAATGTAAAGTTCTGAGGTACCAGGCTCAGGTTCAGGGTGGGGCAGCACACAAACAGGTCTTCTAGCACTTGGGGAGAGCTGTCAAACACAGTCGGTTGGCCCACAATCTCAGAGGGAGGGAAAGACAACCATCCATAGGTTGGGTAGCAGGGGGGGATGCTGACCCACCTGTCCCACTGCATCCCAGCCCAGGGCCTTAACAGCAGCAGCTCAGTCTGCCACTGGGTCAGCGGGGATCCTGACAGCAACACGCTGACTTACAAGCCATTGTGGGGCTGAAATTTAAGAAAATGAGAAAGGCCATACTGGGTTAGACCTAAGCTCCATCTAGCCTAATATTCTGTCTTCCAACAGTAGCCAATGCCAGATGCCCCAGAGGGAGTAAACAGAACAGATCCCTCCTCTTTCACCCATTCCTAGCTTCTGCCAAACAGAGGCTAGGAACACCATCCCTTCCCATCTTAGCTAATAGTCCTCGATGGACCTATCCTCCATGAATTTAGCTAGTTCTTTTTTGAACTCTGTTAAAACCCTGGTCTTCACAACATCCTCTGGCAAGGAGTTCCACAGGTTGACTTTGCACTGCATGAAAAAAAAGCTTCCTTTTGTTTGTTTTAAACCTGCAAACTGATGCTACCTATTAATTTCATTTGGTGACACCTAGTTCCATCATTGGGCCCGGTGATCTGGGCCAGTCTTCAGTCTCTTTTAGGTCCCCCTCCACTTCCCAGCTTGGAAGTGCAGAACAGGCATCTGGCTCCTCTGGGGGCTGATTGGCCTCCGGGGCTGGCCTTTTATAGCTCTTGCCATGCCTCCTGACTTGTAGTCAGGTGAAGTGCTGGGGCCGGGCTCTGCCCTCCAGGGCTCTGGGAGGGGTTCCTCCGTCTCTGGATTGTCACTGCTTGTGACGTAGTGGGGGTATTGGGCTGCTTTCTATGCTGGCTCTGTGGTAACCCCCACTGGCTGCTGCCGGTACCACAGCCCAGAAGGACAGGGAGTGAGACATTATGCAAAGAGGCCCTCTCAACCTGTCCGACCAGCTACCCCCCAAGGAGAGAAACAAAGGAAGGTGATAGAAATGTGATAGAAAGGAAGGTGGAATGCTGCCCTGGCAGGGGGGGGGGGTGTAGGGCTGGAGGAGAGTGAGTTACTTACTCTCGGTCTAGAATCATGGAGGAAGCAGCCTCAGCAACAGACTGGGGGGTTTAGAAGCCGAGACACCCCTCCCCCATATTGATGGGGGCTGAGGCATCCTAGGCTGGCCCTGTAACCAGATGACATCTGTGCTGTGCTGTATCCTGGAGAAGCAATAAACTCCCTCTGTTCTACGGGCTGGTGGAGTCTGTTCATGCCATTTCGGGGGTGCAGGAGATGGGAAAACCCCATCGCACTGTCACACTGCTCTAGGTATGACTAATTATTTCTGTAGGCTCCATGGTGTCAGAGTCATTGTGTCTGCTATCTCAGGGTTTGACTATTTGCAGCATCCAACAAAATGCTGTGGATGGCAGCCAGTCAGAAAGGCTTTGGTGAGGAAAAAAAATTCTGTCAGAAAACCTATTCTGGATGTCCCTGATTTTGACAAAGGATTTGAACTGTGCATGGACACATCTCACCCAGGTCTGGGAGTGGTACTAATGCAAGAAGGCAAAGGCAACAAGAAAGGATTCTATTGCTTGCTTAAGTAAAAAGCTGACACCTGCCTCCCCAGCAGAATGACTCTGTCACAGAAAAAGAATGCCACACAATTGTGTGGGCAGTCAAGCAGTGAAGCCAATCTGTTTACCAGGAAGTTCAGGGCCCTAACACACCGCACTCCGTTGGTATGCCTACACAGAACAAAACGTACCAACTCCCATCTGCTGCACTGGAGTACAGCACTCAGAGCAGAGTATGCAAATTGTACACATGAAGGGCACAGAAAAGGCTCTTAAAGACAGGCAACTGCTCTGTCGAGATAGGAGGGTTCTCAGATGACTGGGATTAGCTAGGGGCGGACTCTCCTCCAGCTATGTAAGGGGGTAGGTGTGACCCAGGGATATCTTGATGCCAACTGGCAGAGGGCACAACAATGTATGGGGTTTTACGGGGATCCCTCGGACAGGTATAGGCCTAACACTTCATCAAAGGGCAGCATCTGAGGGCTCTGCTTGGAGCCAGTATCTCACTGATCATCACAACCATTTCAAAATGTACCTATGGATAACATTTAAGGCATTGTATGTCTTTGGGGCAGTTATGTTCTCACAGATGTTCCTTTCGGGCAGGGGCTAACAGACTGAGCAGACTTCCTGTCTGGGTAATAGGGACTGTTCACTTCTCACTATAGGTCTATTTGCATCTGGGGCTATTTGCATAGGTACTGCTGTTCTGGAGCTTGCGAAAATCTACAAAAAAGAAGCATGCAGGAAAAAATCAACCATTAGGGGGCGTCCTGATTACAAGGAATGACAATGGGTCAGTGGAATACATTTGCAGGGCAGATTTAAGCCCCTGAATCTTTCACCAAGGAAGCTAGTGGACAGTGTGATTTGGCTCATGATAGGAAAGATCACAGCTAACCCTACCTGAAAAACACTGGAAGGACTTTGGGGAGAAGATCCAGTTAGTTAAGTCAAGCTTCTAGAATGCATGTTATGCATTTATTGAATATGTAACAATTGTTTCTAGTTATGCCTATTTGCAATTATTTGACATCTCTGCTCTTTGTTTGCTAGACTTTGACTTGTTTATACCATAAACATATCTAAGTGCTGAGAGCTGAGTTGTGGTCTCAGGTGTACCTGGAAAGGAGGGGTGCACTGTGCACTGGGGAGCAGGGTCTGTGGCTGTGGAGAGTGGCCTGTGGGCACTCAGAGGACTGGTGTGTGCCTATTGCTAACCTGCAGAGGGGAGGGCTTGTATTGCTCAAGGCTGGTGGAGTTGGGGGTCTCACACTAAGGGCGGGTAGTCGCAAAGTGCCTCACAATGCAGGTACCTTTAGGAAGCAACGCAGGGCAGTGGCAGTGGCACAGCTTGGCTGAGAGAGCCTGCCCACATTATGCACCAGCGTACCCTCCTTTCCTGGGTTCTAAATCAGCTGGTGCGGGGAGCAGGATGGGGACGTGGTCTTAGTTCTCTTTCTCATTTCTAAAACTGACCTGGTTCTCTCTCCACTCATCCGGAAGTGGTGCTGGGAAGAACCTCTCATCAGCATCATGTTGAGAATGGGATTTCAGAGAGGTGTCAACATAAATAAAACCCTTTCCTCTCCATTCATGGTGGGGCACCTGGCTCTTGTCTAGGCATAAACTAATGCTTGAGAAGGAAGGACAGGCTTATGAACTGGGAATTCATAAACCCTGGGCTCAATTCCTTAGTCTGTCACAGGTTCCATGTGACCGTGGGCGTGTTGCCATGTGTAAAACAGGGATAATCATCTCTCCATTGTCCTTAGGTGATGGGCTCTTTGGAAGGAACTGTCTTTCGCTGTGTACAGCCAGCACCGTGCATGTGGTGCAGGATCTTTGTTGAGGTCTCTCAAGGCTACCCGAGTATCAGGATTTGCCAGCAGTTGGGAAGCAAGGGTAAGAAAGGAGAGGGTGTTGAGTTCGTCACTCTCTCTAGAAATTATGCCAGATGCATGAGGAAGGAAAGGCATTGCAGCCCCAGTTATTCCGCTGCATCGAATAAGCATAAAGTAGAATAGAGCAGCAGCAAACACTGCACCTCACGGAGAAGGAGGTAGAGCTGTTCCTCCCAGTCGCAGTGCAAAAGCCTCCACTGGCACCCCACACACGTGAGCAGTGGGCAGGGAGCATGCGTACGGGAAGGAGGGTGTGAACATGGAACAAGACGGGGAGTTCCCATGGCTGCTGATCAGGCAGAGCTCATGCTGGCAGCTCAGTGGCAGACGGGTGTTGGGCCCACTTTCATTTGCCCTTAGCCCCTCTGGAGCTATCCCCCCTCCCCTAGCAGGTGCTGAGACGTGTGCCTACCCACTCCCAGCTGGCTAGCATGCCTTGCCCTGGCTGCCTCAGAATGGATTCCCCTCCCCCCCCCGCTGATGCATTGCTTTGTGGGAGCAGCCATCCCTCACTACGCACACATGCTGCTCCCATTGCCGTGCCATGCAGGCACCATGCCAAACTGCCCAGATTCCAGGGTGACAGACACTGCATAGGCAGCCTGTGACATTGGCCTGGGGTTTGCTGGACTCCTGTGCCAGGCCAGGTTGAAGCAGTGGGGACAAAGGGGGCAAACGCCCCAGGTCTGGTGCTTCAAAAGGGCCCAGCACTTCCACCACTATTGCTGATACTGCAGCAATGGCAGCAGCTAGAACCCCCGGCCCTTTACATCACGCTGGAGTACCACGCAGTGCACTCCAGGCAGCACCAGAGGCTGTGGGGGGCACGTCATAGTCCAAGTGGCACTAAGGGCGGGCTGCCCAGCCCCAGAGGCCCCGCCCCTTCTGGGGGCACAGGCCCCTCGCACACATTGCCTAGGGCTCAGCCAGGCTGTCAGCCCCACAGGGTTGGAGTGAGGACAGCAGTGACCCAGAGCAAGGGGAAGGCTGGGACATCAGAAAAGAACTGAAGCAGGCATAGAGCTTGGCCACCTGCTGTCGACTTATCCATTGCTCCCAGCCTTGGTGCCACAAGCTGGCCTGCACCAGCTGCCTGGAGGGAGCTGACTAGCCACTCGTCCGTGAGAGGAGAGGGGACAGGAAAGGTTATGGAGGAAGATAGAGGTGGGTAGGGGAGACAGGAGCCATCTACTCCTACCTGGCCTCAATCACATGGCAGTGCAGAATCCTCCTCTGCGGCGCCTCTCGCACCTTCAGCTCCAGGCAAATCTCGCCCTGCACCTCTTCATTGGGCTCCACACGGGTCAGGTTGATCCAGTTGTCAATCCCTGCAATGACAGGGGAGTCCATGTGGCTCCCTTGACCTGCCCATTTCGGGCAGCCATGCTGGCCATGTGTGACGTCTGTGCAGCCTCCCGCTACATGCCCTGGCACAGGCCTGAGAGGTGTTACGCACCGCATGGCCAGCCCCAAACAGGCACAACATCACAAGTCAGCCACCCACCTCCTCAAACCATGAGATTGCCTTAAAATCAGGAGCACTACAAACTATTGCAATACAACACCAGGGTTCTCTTCCCTCACCTTTCAGGGCCTTCCCCCACAACAGCCCGCTTCTCTTTTGGAAAGACAAGCTGAGATTCTCTCCTAGCCAGGGGCCCAAGCGACTCACAATAACACCCTGAGAGTCAGCAACACTGAGGGGTGGAGAGAACACAGGCTGCCAGATAACCTGACTTCTCCGTCTGCGCAGACCCTGCTATTCTGTGGGGCCTCACCAGGGGTGGGGTGTGCTGATCTCTGAGCATGCTGGGACCCGCTCGCCAGGAGGCTAAGATTCAGAGCCAGGCCTTGTGGAATGGCCCATAAAGAGCCAGCTTGGTGTCTGCTGCCCTGCATGGCCACTGTGAGCCAGTCACTGTCTTCATAAGGCACTTTTCCAGCCCAAGGCTCCCTCCACTGCCCCATCACCTACCGCGCGGGTGAGATGAAATCCATTCTCTACTGAGAGAGATTTTGCCAATGACATCATCATGCCTGCAAGGAAAGAGCCAGATGTGGGCAAAGAGCACCTAGAATTAACTGCCCTGCATGGTCAAGGGGCAGGTTATCCAGGCGGGCTCCCGCACATCACCCCAGCTGCTCAGGGCAAGTTTCATTCCTTTGTGCTTTGTTCTGCCCAGCTCCAAAGCAACTAACTGTCTCACGGCTCTCCCGCAGGAGTGGCTGGAGGGAGCCCCTCCATCTCTGATGGGGGAAACAGGAGGGGTAGCTGTGAGGGGATCACGGACAGCAAATGCTCTATTCCTGTTGCTTGTTTGCTGCTGAGTCAGCACGACGGGCAGAGGTGCCAGCGAAAGGCACCAGAGCTCAGGCCAATCCATTGCTCCAAGCAGAGCCCGGCTCAGTAAGCCCCCCGGCACTTCATTAGTGTGCTGAGCCCAGCTACACCCACAAGTAGCAGCCCCCTCTCACCCGATGGTGTCCTCATCCAGCACGTAGAAGGCGAGACTGTGGAAGCCCATGGGCAGGTGCAGGGTGTATTCCTCCCCCCAGAAGGGATTCAGATTCTTCCACACGGTAGCAGTCCTGCAAGCAGAGTCCGGGGCAGAGGGGGTCAGTGCCAGCAGCTGCGACCATGCCCCTGAGCCATGCCAGCATTGTGGGCCATGGTGCGATGGAGGAGGTCACAGCTGTGGACCCTGCTGTCACTATGAGAACTACAGGCTCAGTCCCTATCCTCTGGGGGATGGGGTCAGGACTAGGTTTACTCCAGCTGCCTTAACCCAGGAGAGGCAGGAGCTCAGGGACTGGGAGAGATGCCATCTGGACCTCACAGCTCCAAGAATCCAGAGCATGTGCCACACACACAGACCTCGCCGAACGCACAAGGGTCCACACCCGTGCTCCCTGCAAGCTCTGCACTAGTGCAGCCACTCAGAAGTTAATATGCTGCCCGCCTGATTAGCAGAGCGCCCACAGCTAGGTTTTTAGTGTCTACTGGTGGTGCGCCCTCGCCCATGTCTCTGTGCACACAAGAAAATGCATTCAGCCAATGGATGGAAAGGGTTAGAGGAAACACAGGCATGCACCTCCCTGCCAGTGGCATGCAGTGGCCACGGATGCACTGGTGCAAAGAACTACGCATGCATGCATGCAGGGCCAAAGGGACGTAAATCCATGCCTGCAGAGACAGTTGCGTGAGTGGAGACCAGCACTTTGCTCTGTACATCGGTCTCTATTACACCACGCTCCAACAACAGTGCAAATATGGCATATTTACTCATCCCGTCCCCAGGGCGCCCAGCTGGGCACACTCACCTGGCTACCACTTCGTTGTCTACTTTGACAATGCAGTAGGGGTCACTGGTGCCAGACCTGGGGAGGGACACCAAGTAAGCAGGCACACTGGTATTAAGCAGGGCATTGGTATCTGGGCAAAGGACTGCAGCCTTGCAGGGTCACTGGGCTGAGCACTGTTTGCGGAGCATTTAAAGAAGGCAGCGAGGCGCAGTGCGCGGCTCTAATTGGGAACTGGCCTGTAGAAACAGCACCCTGTAGAAAGCAAAGGGCATGGCACAGGCAGCCAGAGGCCCTGCCCCCAGGGACCAGACTGAAGTGTGGGTAGCACTCCCAAAGGAACAGCAGGGTTCGACCAGCCGGTGCTCTGGCCCTGTAAGTACTGAAGATCTGCAGGGTTCCTGAGAAGCAATGTATTACATCAACACAGCTCCCCATTTCCCCCAAGCCCCCTTTAGCCCCCCTCCATGCGCTGCATGGCCCAGCTGCCCCTGCTTTGTCTCTTCCCATTCTTTGGTGCCAGGCCCACCAGGCATAGGAGCACTGCCCTCCCCCTGGGGCCTCCATGAAGTGCTGCCAAGGGTCACTACTTCTGCCACCACTGCCAGAATCCTGGGGCAGGCCCATGCAAGCCAACGAGCCAGCTAACTGGCAGGTTTCTCTGAAGGCTCGCTCACTGCTGTCTGGATCACAAAGAACTACAATTCAAAGTGATCTTGACAAACTGGAGAACTGAGCTATGGACAACAAAACGATGAATGTCAGGTGCTGCACTCAGGACAAAACGCAAATGTAGAAATGCAGACTAGGGGGCAGCAGGCTTGGCAGCAGCCTGGCTGACAAGGGTCCGGGAGCCTCCGCGTGTCTCTGCAATGCCAGGCTGCTGAAAAAAAAATCAAAATGCAATGTTAGGTTGTGTTAACAGAGACATCTTGTGCGAGTCACGGGAGGAGACAGTCCCTTCCAGTTAGGCCTCAGCTGCTGTACTGTGTCCATTTTGGTGATCAGGAACCAGAGGCGAGTGGCACAGATGATCGAGGGATGGAACGCAGCCACATGAGCAAAGGCTGGAGGAAGTGGGTGTGGTCAGTTTAGAAAAGAGGCGATTGAGAGGGACAAAGTGGCATCTTCAAATACTTGAATGGCTGCCCTAAAAGGGCAACAGAGGGCAGGAGACATGGCAACGGGTTGAAAGCACAGCAGAGCAGAGTTAGATGGAAGCTCTGGAAAAGCTTCCTCGCTGTAAGCAGAGTGGGACAATGGAACAGATGCCGAGGGGGAGGGTGTCAAGAAGAGGCTGGATGGCATCTGTCTAGGGTCCTTCAGATGCAGCTCCCACTTCTTGGCAGGGGGTTAATCTAGTCCTTGTGTTTCCTCCCAGCCCCACGAGTCTAGGATTCTATTCTAAGGAGAAGTGGCTCTTTAGGAGGCATCTGAACAGAGCCCACAGGAGTTGGGAATCTGGGGGTGGACTAGGGCAGCACAGAAGGGGCCAAGGCTTCCCTGGGGAAGGGTGCCAAAGGAATATTTCATTCACCAGCTTCACGATCCCTGGGAGTGAGTAGTAGGCTGGTCTCCCAGGAGTAATATGCATCTGCCCTGTTGTATTCATAACACGCATCCCAAGGCTGGAGGGCAGTGCAAGATCCATGCTTTTAGGCAGAGATGGTGGGTACAAAGTTCACAGGGGCAGTTGAAAATGGCACAAAATGCAATCAGGAGCCCTTGGAATTATGTGGAAAAAACTGCTTCATGGGGGCAGTGATCCTGCATCAGGATGCACTATGATCCATTTCCAGAATGCCTACTAGGGAAGAGTGATGATTTGCGCAGTGGGATAGCTACCCGTGGTACACTGCTCTCTCCACTGGTGCTAGGGCACCAACATTGAACAGACTCCACCAACACCAGTGATGGGTGAACTTGCACAAGTATTGTAATTACAGCAGTTTATGATCACTGATGTAACTGACATCTATTTAACTCTGTAGCGTAGGCATGTGTGATGTAGTGGGGCCCTGGATCCACGCTGGTTGGGCAGTCATTGGTTGCTGTGTTGTGCTGTGTGACCCCTACTGCCCTTTGCTGGTGTGTAGAGACTCTGTGTGCGTCTGTGTGCAGTGCCCAGCAGGGTATGGTCCCTGAGGGTGAGCAATGGCCCAGCCGCCTGACACCTAGGCTAGGTAGAAGCTATCTGAACAAATCAAGGGGCATGGCTGCCTGGGGGCTAAGGACCAGCTGCTGGGAGTTGAGTCAGTCTGGGCTGGGCTGGGGGAAGGGGGAATGTTTTTAGACCAAAGAAGGGGGTGAAGCCCCTTCCCCCCAGAAGCACTAAGGCTCTGCCCTGGCTCCTATGTCTACCTTCTTTTCTGCTGGCTGGCGGAGTCACATCTGGCTGCGGAGGAGGGTGCAGGGCCAAGGGCTCCCCGACGTGCTGTCACAGCATGGCCTTAGTTTCTTAGGGTTTGTCTAGACTTAAAATGCTACAGCAGCAACAGGATGCTCCACTTGGTGTGGATAATTCACACCCCCAAGACAAGCTAAGTCAATGGAAGAATTCTTCCATCTGCACAGGGACTTAGGTTGGCTTAACTATCTGCTCAGCAGTGTTCCCTGTAAGCTGAGCATTTTGGTGGCCACCCAGGAGAGATTTAGGTGCTGCCCAGCTGATTACCAGAGTGCCCACAGCAGGCGGCATATGTTTCTATTGGTGGTGCACATCTGCACATGCCTCTGTGCACATAACATTCATTCTGTACACATACCGAAAAATTAGAGGGAACACTGCCACTCATGGGAGTGAATTTTTCATAGCCCTGAGTGACACAGCTTCTAGTGTAGACCAGGCTTTAGCAAACTGTAAGAGCAAATAGTCTTCCCCCACATCCTGCCGGGCAGATTGTGATCTTCATGTAAATATCAGTGTTTTCTTTGCTGTGTCGGAGCTCAGAGAAAATGGATTCCTCTCCCCAAGCCTCTAAGGGTACGTCTACACTGCAACACTATTTCAAAATAACTAGCGCTATTCCAAAAGAACTTGGTCCGTGTCTACACAGCAGGCAGTTATTTTGAAATAGTGTCAAATACTGTCAAGCTGGAGGACTTGTTACTCCTTAACCCTCATTGTACGAGGAGTAAGGGAAGTCAGAGGAAGAGTGCCTTATTTCGAAATAAGTGCTGAGGAAACACTCCCATATATTTCAAAGTAAGCTATTTCAAAATAACATACGCAATTGAGGTAGCTCAATTTGCGTAGCTTCTTTCAAGTTAAACCCTGCTGTGTAGGTGCACCCTAAAAGGTCCAAGATCTCCTGCACAATGCGTGCTGGTGCTCTTTTGTGCCCCTGGAAACTGGAGCTCATAGGACTTGAAGTCATGGAAGTCATGGCCATGTGTGCTGCTCAGGAGTGCTGCTTGCTCTTGCTTGTGATCGCAGCACTGGCCACATGGGAAATGAAATTCGAACTTTCCCAGGGCTTTTCTTATTCACCTGGAAAGAAGTAAAGGCGCAGGTTCTGGCCAGAGTAGTCAGTGCAGGGCACTGTGGGATGCCTCCCGGAGGCCAAGAGCCTCAACTTTCACAACACTGTATCTACACTACTGTAAATTCAACCATGCAAAGTCAAAATTCCATGCAGTGTGCAGCGGCAGTCAAAAAAGCAAATGGAATGTTAGGAATCATTAAAACAGGCAGTTCCCAACCTTTTCCAGATCGGGACCCATTTTGACAATTCAGGAAGACCTGGTGACCCAGGGCAATTCAAAAATGTATGAATGGCTCCTTAAGAGCCACCTGGGGAGACACCTGGCGACCCTTTTGAAATGTAATGGCGACCCAGATTTGGGTCCCAATCCGTAGCTTGGGAAACCCTGAGATAGAGAATAAGATGGGGAATATCTTATTGCCTCTATATAAAACCATGGTACGTCCACATCTTCAATACTGCGTACAGATGTGGTCGCCTCATCTCAACAAAGATCTACTGGCACTGGGAAAAGGTTCAGCAAAGGGCAACAAAAGTTATCAGGGGTTTGGAATGGGCCCATATGAAGAGAGGTTAAAAAGACGTGGACTTTTCAGCTTAGAAAAGAGGAGACTAAGGGGGGATATGATAGGGGTCTATAAAATCATGAGTGGTGTGAAAAAAGTGAATAAGGAAAAGTTATTTACTTATTCCCACAATATAAAAACTAAGGGTCACCAAATGAAATTAACAGGCAGCAGGTTTAAAACAAACAAAAGGAAGATTTTCTTCACTCAGCGCAGTGTTAACCTGTGGAACCCCTTGCCAGAGGATGTGGTGAAGACTAGGACTTTAACAGGGTTCAAAAAAGAACTAGATAGATTCATGGAGGTTAGGTCCATCAATGCCTGTTAGCCAGGATGGGTAGGAATGGTGTCCCGAGCCTCTGTTTGTCTAGAAATGGATGACAGGGGAGGGATCACATGATGATGACTTGTTATATTCCCTCCCTCTGGGACATCTGGTATTGGCCACTGTGGGAAGACAGGACACTGGGCTACATGGACCTCTGGTCTGACCCATTCTGGCTGTTCCCACGTTCTTATGTTGTCAAGAAAAGCAGGAGTACTCAGATAGACTTCGGTAGCCCTTAGGTTCGATGGAACCGGCTTGGTAGTGTGGGCACATCATTTAGAAAAACAATCAACTGTGTGCAGCTAAGTTCAATCTAAACTAACATGGACCAGGCCTAAGGAACCTCCCATTGTCCTTCCTGAGACACTCCCAGCTACTGCTTCAGAAACAGGACAGACCATGTGGGGAGTTAGCACAAAACCCAGCTGCAGAAACAGCTTGGTAGCACTGGACGCTGGCTTGGACGCCGGCCCACCCCCAGACAGCACTCAGTGGTCCGGCAAGCCCTGGATGCTGGCTTGGACACTGTCCT